TTGAGTTATTTTGAGGGGACAGCAAATTTACACTGTTATACAAGCTTTCCACTCACTACTTTACATTGTAGTAAAGTGTCGTTTCTTCAGTGTTGTCATATGTGTGTATGTATGTGTGTGTATATATGTGTGTATATATATATATATATATATATATATATGTGTGTATATATATATATATATATATATATGTGTGTATATATATATATATATATATATATATATATATGTGTATATATATATATATATATATATATATATATGAGAGAGATGGAGATGAAGATGCCATGTTAGCAATACAGTTGATAATAGATATACTGTTTGTACCCAAGATAATGTGTCTTTAACTTATAGAATTGTGTACGTGCATTCTGGTACATGTGTGCTCAAGCATTGTTGGTGTATATATACTTCACTTGCCTGGAAGAGAGATCATGGCAAACTTGTCATTATTCCTCATTGGTGACTTGTAATCCCGTGTCTCGCTGAAAGGTAATGAAGGGGATGACAGAGGAGGTAGCCAGTGGTTGCAGATGTCCAGGTATAGCTGCAACGCATTGTCGCCATTGATGACTTTGTCAAGCAAAAACATAGAGGAGAAAGATACATTTTTCAGAAACGCATCTTTCTGGTGTTATCAAACTCTCAGCAGTGGTGATAGGTTTTTTCCTAATACTGCAGTACCCTAAGCTTTACTTGGTTAATTCCCTTTGTATAAAAATAGTTTTTTAATATTAGATGGGTCTGAGGGGTTCTGGTGAGTAGGACAAAGGTATGATATATCTGCATACTTGAACTCCGGGCACTTTCTCTATTGTACATTGAAGGTCATACACTGGGTATGAAAAAGAATGACCCCCTTTTAAAATCAAATTTTTTTGCTTTGCAGCCTGAAATGAAGACAGGTTTTTGTTTTATCCAGCTGTTTTAAGAGCCGGTTCACACCATAGAAATGCAGTCCAGATGTGTTCTGGATGCATTTCCACATGTGCGTTTTTGGTGAATTCCTGTGCGTATTAGATGTGTTTTGGTGCATTTTTAATGCATTCTTGTTCATTTTTCTCCAATTTAAATATGGATATGTGCATTCTAGTGCATTTTTTATGTGTTTTACTGCATTCCAGTACAGTTCTGTGCAGGGAGAACTGCAACCAGAACGTGCTGGAACTGCAAACACTGATGTGAACTATGACATTGACAACCATATTATCTACTTTCTGTGTAGTTTTGGATTCAGAACAAAAGCACACCTAAACACATGTAGTGTGAACTGGCCCTTTTTCCTGGAGCATTTCAGGTCCTGGTAGTGCAACTGAAGTAAACATCAACTATGGGTGGCAAGGCACTGTCAAACTATCTCCGGGATTATGTAGTGGACAGGCACAAGTCGGGAGATGGATTAAAAAAAATGTAAAAGGCTTTCTCAATGCCTAGTAGCACAGTGAAGTCTAATATTAAGAAGTGGAAGGTATTTGATACAACACAGACCCTCCCTGGATCAGGGCGTCGCTCCAAACTGGATGAGAGAGTCAGAAGGAAACTGGTCAGAGAGGATACCAAGAGGCCTACAGCAACTCTGAAGCAGTATTATGACAAAAGTGGTCATTATGTGCATGTGACAACAATATCTCAGATTCTCCACAAATGTGGCTTGTGCGGGAGGCTTGCAAGAAAAAAGCCACTCCTCAAAGGCCACATGCAGTCTTTGCCAAAACGCACCTGAAAAGATTCTGAGGCCATATGGAAAAAGGTGTTATGGTGAGATTAGACTAAAATTTAATTATTTGGCCTCAACACTAAACGAGATGTCTGGTGGAAATCCAATACGGCTCACCATCCAAATAACACCATTTCTACAGTTAAACATGGAGGTGGTAATGTTTTGCTATGGGGGTGTTTTTCTGCAACAGGGACTGGACCACTTGTCAGGATAGAAGGAAAAATGGATGGGGCAAAATACCGTCAAATTCTTAAGAAAAATCTGCTGCCCTCTGCCAGAAAGTTTTCAATGGGAAGGTTTACCTTCCAACATTACAACAACCCAAAGCACACAGTGGTTGATGGAGAAAAAGGTAAATGCTGTTGCATGGCCTAGTCAGAACCCAGACTTAAATCCCTTTGAAAATCTGTGAAATGACTTGAAGCCCGCAGTCCACAAATGGTCACCATCAATTTTAACTGAACTTAAGCAGTTCTGCAAATAAGAGTGGGTGAATATTGCAAAGTTAGTAGAGACATATCCCAACAGACTAAAGGCTGGAGTTAAAGCAAAAGGTGCTTCAACAAAATACTTACACAATGGGGAGATCCTTTTTCCAGCTCAGTGATCTCTCTTTTTGAATTTTTTTTCTGACATGTTGCTATTATATCTTTCACTTGGATGTTATAAGTGGCACAGCTGGATAAAACAAAAACTGTCTTCATTTCAGGCTGCAAAGCAACAAAATGTGAGGGGGTTCAAAGGGGGTTGATTCTTTTTTTATACCCACTGTATGTCCACAGGACTACTGCTAACCTTTAGCACTGATCCAGCCGCTACCTTTACCAGGCTCTCCCATTCTATTGGGGAGCCTGGTACTGATGCGTTCCTTTACTTTGGATGCCCTAGACAGAGTGAGATTAGCTTCTGTTGTTTCTCTCCCTCTGTGATGACAGAAACCAGAAGCAGCAAGAATTGTCATTTCCAGTTTCGGTTTATTTTCTAGCCGTTACCAGTTTGTAAAGCAGCCAATCAAATCAAACTGCTTTTGGAGGTCAGAGTAGACCACTGACCTGCCACAGCCCATGCTATCACAAGGGATGATGTTCATGTCTCGTGATAAAAATTAAAGTTCCATTTTTTTAAAAAAAGTGTTAAAAATTAAATAAATCGCACCACTGCACAAATACCATGTGGCCTAAATTGGAACAACCATTATTTTGTTGTCCAGGGCCTCGGCTCTGCTTAAAAAGTGTGTGTGTGTGTGTATGTATGTATGTATGTATGTGTGTGCGTATATACAGTTGTGTTCAAAAGAATAACAGTGTGTTGAAAAAAGTGAATAAAGCTCAAAATCCTTCTAATAGCTTTTATTTCCATACACACAAATGCATTGGGAGCACTACACATTATATTCCAAATCAAAACATGAAGAAAAATATATCAAATTTGTGTTGTTCCTCTAAAAAAAATTGAAGAAAAGTGAATATTAGACTGTTCAAAAAAAAAAAAGCAGTGTTTGTATTCTTCATTACAAACTAAAACATTCACTATATAAACTGAAAAATATTTGAAGATTTTGCTTTCCTTTGAATCACTTAATGAATATTTAGTTGTATGCGCACTGTTTCTGAGAACTGCTGTACATCTGTGTTGCATGGAGTCAACAACTTCTGGCACCTGTGAACAGGTATTCCAGCCCAGGATGATTGGACTTCATTCCACAGAACTCTATTTCTTGGTTTTGCCTCAGAAACTGCATTTTTGATGTCACCCCACAAGTTTTCTACTGGATTAAAATCCGGGGATTGGGCTGGCCACTCCATAACGTCAATCTTGTTGGTCTGGAACCAAGATGTTGCACGTTTACTGGTGTGTTTGGGGTCGTTGTCTTTTTGGAACACCCATTTTAAGGGCATTTCCTCTTCAGCATAAGGCAGTATGACCTCTTCAAGTATTCTGATGTATTCAAACTGATCCATGATCCCTGGTATGCGATAAATAGGCCCAACACCGTAGTATGAGAAACATCCCCATATCATGATGCTTGCGCAACCATGCTTCACTGTCTTCACAGTGTACTGTGGCTTGAATTCAGTGTTTGGGGGTCGTCTGATAAACTGTCTCCGGCCACTAGACCCAAAAAGAACAATCTTACTTTCATCAGTCCACAAAATGTTGCGCCATTTCTATTTAGGCCAGTCAATGTGCTCTTTGGCAAATTGTAACCTCTTCAGCACATGTATTTTTTTCAACAGTGGGACTTTGCGGGGGCTTCTTGCAGATAGCTTGGCTTCACATAGGCGTCTTCTAATTGTAACAGTACTCACAGGTAACTTTAGACCTTCTTTGATCTTCCTGGAGCTGATTGTTGGCTGAGTCCTTGCCATTTTGGCTATTCTTCTATCCATTCAAATGGTAGTTTTTCGCTTTCTTCCACGTCTTTCAGGTTTTGGTTGCCATTTTAAAGCATTTGCGATCATTTTAGCTGAGCAGCCTATCATTTTCTGCACTTCTTTATATGTTTTCCCCTCTCCAATCAACTTTTTAATCAAGGTACGCTGTTCATCTGAACAATGTCTGGAACGACCCATTTTACTCAGAATTTCAGAGATAAATGCACTGTAACCAGCATGTACAACATTTGCTGCCTTCCTTCCTTTAAATAAGGGCAATAATTTCCACCTGTTTTTCAAAGAATGAATGACCTCACTAATAGAACATCACACTGCTATTATTTTGAACATGCCCCTTTCAATTAGTGATTCAATTACACAGAATCAGCAGCAAGCATGTCATGACTGTTGGGTCTGTTGGATTTCTATTACTCTACTACACCTGCTAGTAAATTATTTGACATGTAGAAATATCATTTCTACCAAAAACAGTGATTGATCAGGTTAGTGATGTCTGACTGCTATTATTTTGAACACAACTGTATATGTGTGTGTGTATATGTAGATAGAACGTTTGAGGATTTTAAGTAATTTTCTAGCAAAAAGATGCAGATTTTTACATGTATGGGAGAAATTTCAGAATTGACCCAGTCTGGAGGTGGTTAAGCGTAGATCAGCCATAACATTTTCTGTACTAAAGTCTGTTTTGAAATGTGTCATCTTCCTTGGATAATGATTTAAGTACTTTTTTAACTTGGTAAAATTTTCCACAGAATTTTGCTTTTACACAGCTAAACTTTTACGTTTACAACTACCAAAAAGTACCTCAAGGTACTATAGCAATATTATCAGTGGATTAGGTTAAAATGGTAGCATAAAAGCATTAATGTCTTCTTTTTCCACAGGAAGCCTTACAATCAATCAAAGAATAGATATAGTGATGTCTTGTGCCTGGACCAGTCAAGAGTTAAGTTAGGTCTTATTGGAACTGACGAGGTAAGCTCATACTAGTAATAGTGTTGTGTTGTCATATTCTTTGTAACCTACAGAATATAGGATTATAATATGTCAGCAGCAATCCTAGTAATGTTGCCAATTTAAATTGATGTCTATTGTGCTAAATCTAATATATGAATGTTTAAACTTCAATTCCCCCTTTTCAGGAAAATTCTATACACCACATAACTTTGCAATTTAATGATATTAAAATGCCTTTCCATTCACTCTACAGCCAGCCATTTTATCTGAAACTACCAGAAAATTAAAATGCCACTTCCTCACAACATGACAAATATGGAGTATCCAAGATGCTTTTTTGTTTGCAGGATGTGTAAATTTCTTTTCCTACTGTGCAGTATTTTTTTTTTTTTTTTAGATTTATATTTTTCATTTTCATTAGTCAGCACAGAGAAGTTAAAGTAGAAACCTAGCTTAAACACTATATGACTTTTTACTCCTGCCCTTTTACAATGCTGAGATTGTACAGGTGGTCCTTAGCTAGGCACGGCTTCCTATTGGCATTCAGATTAAGAAAGGTAATACAAAGTTGTCCTGAACTTTAAAATCTTTGCAGCATACACTACTATGTTGGCTTCCTCAGCAAAACGAATTGTACTTTTTAGTTCAATAAGCAAATCTTCCACAAGATGGCGATAAATATTACAAAAACTTCAGAAGCCAAAGTAGTTGATAAGAAAAATATACTTTCTTCCATTTAGCTGACTTAAGCAAAATGGTTCCAGCTGAATTTCAGCTTTACAGTATATAAAATGCTGACCATGTGTATACATCATCATCATCATATAGCTGACTCCAGTCAATTTAGAACCCTTTTTTTTTTTTTTTTTTTTTCCCCCAGTAGAGGGGTACGTACATTCTTTGTAACACAAGTATCCATTTGAAACAATTTAAAATATTATTGAAATAAGCAGTTTTAATAAAGCAAAGCAAGTGATGTTTAACCATTGTAGCATTTTTTTTGTTTTGTTTTTTTTATTTGCTTTGGCAATCTTTCAATTCCACACATCTTTTAATTTTTGTAATACAGTATGCCCCCAACATATTTTTACATTTTTTTTTCTTTTCTTTTTTTTTTTCTTTTCAGTAAAGATAAGGGCTTTAGTTCAGTAGCAAATATAGATACATATATTTTTATTTCCTTGGTTTTTAATGGCAATAAATGGTAGGAAATTAAAAAATTACAATTGTATTTTTTTTTTCTTTCTTTAACGACCGGATTTTAGTAATTTGAACACACCCCATGTATTTACCCCAAAATATCATCCTCAGTGTGATATCCCATTAATGTGACTTTTATGTAACATTCGGTGAACTTGTGCTTTACTTTAGGAGGTTCCCGTGCATGTAGTGAGAAAAAAAAAGTAGTTTGTGTAAATTGGTAGTATAACATTAGGAAAAGATCAAGTTAGGTTGATGAGGGCACAAATTAGCAAGATTTTCACAAGTTTGCAGGAGTTTTCTTTTTAACACGTTTACAGGGTCTGGAGCTCTGGACCCCAGACAACCCCCACCACCATGCCCCCTGCTATAAGTGATCTGTTGCAGTGCAGTTTTTCACTCCTTTTTGCAGATATCCATGTGATGGCCCAGATGAACTCGTAAAAGGGAAGATGGTGTTAATCTCTATCTTGACCCAACCCATCCTCTTACTAAGCAACAGTTTTTTGGGTTTTTTTTTCTAACCTTTAGCAAAAGTAAATGTTCACTGAGCTTAGTAAATAAGATGATGCTGTGTCTTGCTTCACTCAACCAAACACGAAAGGATTTTTTTAACCACTTCATGTCCGGACACTTTTACCCCCTTCCTGTCCAAGGCAATTTTCAGCTTTCAGCGCTATCGCACTTTGAGTGACAATTGCGCGGTCATGCAGCACTGTACCTACATACATTTTTTACCATTTTTTTGAGACAGATAAAACTTTATTTTGGTGGTATTTATTCACCACTGGGATTTTTATTTTTTTTTTGCGATGTAAATGAAAAAGTCCAAAAATTTTGAAAGTGTTTTTCTTATAAAATTTTGCAAATAAATAATATTCCATCGTAAATTCTGGCCAAAATTTATTCCGTTATCTTTTTAGTAGAAAAAAAAAAAAAAAATAAGCCAAATTAGTCTATAACCAAAAATGATCATTTTTAAACATTTTTTTTTTTTACATTTTTATTTTATTTTTTTTATATTTATTTATTTGCACATACTGTCACCCAAGCAGTACAGTGTCACCATGGTGACATTGTACTACTTGGAGGGGGGGGGGGGGTGAGGAAGATTTTTTTTTTTACACTGATTGCTTTTACTCCCATATAGGATGTTAAAAGCAATAATTTCTCTTTCTCTCTGTCTGCATTCTTGCAGCCATTGAGAACTACTGAGTGAGCTGTGATTGGTCACAGCTTGTCACATGGTACAAGGCTGTTGTGAATAGCCTTGTACCATGTGACCTCTGTGATCATTCACAGATTTCACATGTAGTAAGCAATGATGTCACAAGTGACATCTTGCTTACTACTTTGCATGTGATCACATGATCAGGACCTCGTACAGAGGTCCCCCGTCCGACGATCGGTGTTTCACTGTGTCCGGAGGACACAGCGGGCACCGGATTGCGGTGCTGCGCGCTCCCAGGGAGCATGCACAAGCAGGGTGCGGGAAGGCCGTTTATAAACGGCCACCCGACCCTGCAGTGCCACCATCCGGCCGTTTATATACAATGGCCGGACGGGAGGTGGTTAAAAATTCCCCTGCACATAATTGGGTTTTTAATTACTAACACATGCTTTGCAAGTAAACCACTTATGTTCCTGTAGTAAGTTTGTAATCTGTAGTGATAAATCTAATCCACCTACTCCGTGGCCAACTGCTGTAATGGATTTATACTGTTGGCAATTATTGTCCATCTTGACACAAAAATTATTAATGACTAAATGTAATGCATCCATTAAGTTTATAACACTTTGATTTTGCAGACAACTGACTATGTAAATGCCAGTTTTATGGACGGGTATAAAAGAAGAAATGCCTACATTGCAACACAAGGTAAGATGTAATAATTACATATGCTTTCAGCTTGCCTATTGTGGTATGTTTGTGTGTGTGTTGCCTGAAAGCTTTGTGCATGGAAAGAAATTAGCTGCATTTAACAGAGTTCGATAACAAGTCTAAAACCTGATTGCTTTCTTACTGGTATACCTCAATATAAAAGACTTTGTTTTTTGTCATTTACTACCTGAATTAAAGGGTTTTTAAGATGAACAGTTAAAAAATAAGACATCACTTCTTTTGACCCTTATGTTTAGTGACATGCATAGTCAACACTTCATGTACCGCTCTCAACTCATACAGCACCATTTCATACAGGAGTTGGACATAAATATGGAAACACTACATGATTTGTAGGCGTGAAAGTGACAACATGTTTTGCGTTGAAAGGGGAAGTGATATAACATTCTTTTGCTTCCACTGTGTGATGAGACACCTAGCTAACAAGTGGGAAGCCTTACTTTTGTTATTCACTGTGTGCGCTGCTAGTAATAGAGAGTCATGTCAGAGCTTACTGAGCTTCAAATAGGGCAAATTGTTGGTGTCAGCTTAGCTGGTGCCTCTGTGACTGAAGTTGGAAATGTATTTGCCTTGTCGCAAGTTACAGTATTATAGGTCATGACGGCATATACAGTTTCTAGGAAAACATCGTCTGATAAGCATAAGTTTGGTCGATATGGTCAACTGAGTGAAAGAGGCAAAAGGGACTGAGATTGAACTCTGCAGGCAGTTTTTTGCAGAAGTCGTTTTCTTTTTCCTGATCACAATCTTGCACTATGTCCCGGAAACTGTATACGCCGTGATGACCTGTGATACTGTACCTCGTGATACGGCAAATATATTGCCAACTTCAGTCACAGAGGCACCAGCTAAGTGGGAACTAACAATTTGCTCTCTTTGAAGCTCAGTAAGCTCTGACATGACTACTTATTACTAGCAGCGCATGTAGTGAATGACAAAAGTGAGCTCTCCCCCCCCCCCCCCCCCCCCCCCCCCCCCCCCCCCGATAGCTAGGTGTCTCATTCCACAACAGCAGAATGTAACATCAGCTCTGCTTTCAGTGCAAATTGTCACTTTCACACCTGCAAATCATGTAGCATTTCCATTTTTTATGTCTAACCCCTGTATATGTGGCTGATACTAATCTTTACCTTCAATGGTGGGATTTGGCACAGGAATCAGCAATTGGTATTGTGCAAAATTCAGGGTACTCTGAAGATAATCTAAGGATACAAGAAGCTACCTGCAGTTAATACTTATAGGTCTGGGGTTTAACTGATGTCTTATTTGTTTTTAGGTTTTTACAGTAACATTTGACATAAACTGCACTTTAGTGGAATGACAACACTTGCTAATTTAATTTTTTTTTTTTTAACTAGGTCCTTTGCCTAAAACATTTGATGATTTTTGGCGCATGGTGTGGGAACAGAGAGTTTTAATTATTGTTATGACAACAAGGTAAATTGCAACATTTTCCGAATAATTACATACAATAATCAATAAAATGTGAATAGCTGTTTAGTTGAGGTTACATTACAATACATTTCTCCTAACCCCCAGCAGTATGAGTCCTGAATTCTGAACTAATCAACATTGTGTAGTTCTATAACAATGATCTTACTCTGCTCACTGTTATATATGGTGTATTGCTATAAAGATGACCTTACTTTGCCCACTGTCATACATGGACATAAGGTGTCAGAGTAAAATACTAGATTTTGTGCTGTTTTGTGCTTTTGTATGTTCTATTTTTAAACCTTATGCTTCAGCTTTTTATATGCAAGCATATTACATGAGATATCTTATGACAGATCAAAGAGTTTTCTCCAAGTTTACTGTTAGGCATTTATTGCCTTGAAATTTAAAACACATGAAAAACTAAAATACAGCCCTGGTCAAAAGTTTTGAGAATGACAGAAATTAATTTACCTGCAAGGAAACTTGCAGTCAGCATTGCTTTGCACAAAAAGGGATTCCCAGCTAAGGATATTGCTGCTACTAAGATTGCACCTAAATCAACCATTTATTGGATCATCAAGAACAAGATTCAGTTATTGTGAAGAAGGCTTCAGGGCACCCAAGAAAGTCTAGCAAGCGTCAGGACTGTCTCCTAAAACTGGTTCAGCTGCGGGATTGGGGTATAACCAGTGCAGAGCTTGCTCAGAAATGGCAGCAGGCAGGTGTAAGTGCATCTGCATGCATAGTGAGGCAAAGACTTTTGGAGGATGGCCTGGTGTCAAGAAGGGCAGCAAAGAAGCCACTTCTCTCTAGGAAAAACATCAGGGACAGACTGATATTCTGCAAAAGGTACAGGGATTGGACTGCTGAGCACTGGGGGTAAAGTCATTTTCTGTGATGAATCCCCTTTCTCATTGTTTGGAGCATTCGGAACAAACTTTGTTCGGAGAAGAAAAGGTGAGTGCTACCATCAGTCCTGTGTCATGCCAACAGTAAAGCATCCTGAGACCATTCATGTGTGGGGTTGCTTCTCAGCCAAGGAAGTGGGCTCACTCACAATTTTGCCTAAGAACACAGTCATGAATAAAGAATGGTATAAAAACATCCTCCAAGAGCAACTTCTCTAAAACATCCAAGAACAGTTTGGTGACAAAGACTTTTCCAGCATGATGGAGCGCCTTGCTTATAAGGCAAAAGTGATAACGAAGTGGCTTGGGGAACAAAACATCAAATTTTTGGGTCCATGGCCAGGAAACTCCACAGAACTTCTTCCCATTGAGAATTTGTGGTCAATCCTCAAGAGGCGGGTGAACAAAAAACCGCCCACATATTCTGACAAACTGCAAGCATTGATTATGCAGGATAGAGCTGCCATCAGTCACGATGTGGCCTAGACGTTGCTTGACAGCATGCCAGGACGAATTACAGAGGTGTTGAAAAAGAAGGGTCAACACTGCAAATATTAACTCTCTTCATAAAATTTATGTAATTATAAAAGCCTTTGACACTTATGAAATGCTTGTAATTATACCTCAGTATACCATAGTAACATCTGACAAAAAGATCTAAAAACATTAAAGCAGCAGACTTTGTGAAAATTAATATTTGTGTAATTCTCAAATCTTTTGGCCAGGGCTGTACAGACTTACTATGGTAAGGACGGTTTAATGTGCTCAAGCACTCATTCTCTGTACTGATAAATTAGTCCATAGGCTAATAAAATGTACTAATTACTGAGAATTACTAATTCTCAGTGATCTTTTGCATTATTATGGTTGTAGTCATTAATGTTTTATGCAGCTCTGAGATATTTTTAAGACCACTTTGTTGGCTGCCTTGGGCATGGTGCTTTGCATGCGTTAAAATGCATATTATGTGGAAATTAGAGGAACTAATTAGCTGGTCTTTTCCCATTACTGACTTGCCATGCTTTGTTCTGCATTGTGGCTCTGTGTGACATGAGGAAGCAAAGCCCTGCCCCTCCAGAGTATCAAGCAAGAATAGTAGTGAGCAACACAGTAGTGACATCGCCAAATCTTGCTTCAGATTTCCTGATGCCAACGGTCAGGGGCAGTCATGCCTTAGAACTCGCACAGATACACAGTTGTGAGACCGTGCACAAAAATACTTAGACACACTTTCATCCCATGAGGCACACTGCTACTTTAAAAGAGGAATTCCAGACAAAACATACATTTTTTCAGAGTACTGCTTAGGCATAACATTTATTATTCTTCCATATACTATATGAAAGCTTCACTTGAATTCCGTTAAATCTCTAATGGTATGCCTTTACAGCTGTTATGCATACAGTAATGGGAGCCAGGTAAAATGTTCTAGTATGTTAATTTAAGTTTTTTCATTTTTTTATTTTTCTATTCTCTCAATAGAGTAATAGAAAGAGGCAGAATAAAATGTGGACAGTACTGGCCCCTTGAAGCTGGAAGAAGTGAAGATTCTGGACACTTCATCATCAGAAACATCCATATTGATCTTTTCCAAGACTTCAAACTAACCCACCTGGATCTTTATAATAAGCAAGTATGTGAACCAGTCTTTTCTGATCATAAATTAGGATATCTCCATTCCCGCTCATTAATAACTTTGTTTTCTTTCATGTTTATGGAAGGATTCAGAGTTCAGGGACGTTTCAATTATTCTACCACCTGAATTTAGACATTAGCAAACAGGGACCAGCCTGGTGTCCTCCTTTCCACTCCAAGCATGCTTTCGTTTTTTACTACTGTCCTAGTGGGATGGCTGTCTTTTTTTTCTCTGAGAAGCTTTGGCCATTTTTTTTCTCACTTTTTTTTTTTTTTTTTAAATCAACCTAATCTCTTTATGCAGCTATCCAAATTCCCGTGTCCTCAGAAATGACTTTTTCATGTCATACCTGGGTCCTGTTAGACTGAACAATAGTGGGGTCTGGCTGGGATGAAATCTTCAGGCAGTTTCCACACCTTTCTATACGATTAGTTAGCAGTGGAGCGTTTTCCAGGTCCAGAGCTGTGGCACTTCCAGACATTTTGTATAAGGACTGGGAAACTCCTGGAGATAAACTATTCATATCTCTCAAACCTCTTGCAGCCCATCATTGGTTTTGAGTATTAATTTTATTAAGTAGTGTGCCACTGCCACCTTTGTTTGATCTGGAAATGTCATATCTTAAAGCCAATCCAGAAGCCTTGTTCAACTGTAAACCTTAAGACTCTAGCTTCCCCAAATCTACAGACAGGTCTTTTTTTGGCATGAAGGGACACCCTGAATTTCTATGGACAACTGCGCAGACTACATCTCTGACTCCTTGTATGGGAAGATGTTTCCAAAAGTTACAAATTACAGTTCTGCTCAGCCGCCTCCCCATGTCATGTCCTAACTGTGCTATGTGACTGAAAGATATTTGATATGTTAAACCTTTTTCACAGTTCACCAACCAAGAAGGAGGCATTTGCCCTATCCTGGATCTCAAGGCTCTAAATGCCTTCATTCAGGCCCAAAAATTCCACATAGAATCCACCAGGTGTGTCACAGCCACCCTTCATCGGGGAAACTTTCTAGCCTTTGTAGAGATTATTATTATACAGAATTTATATAGCGCCAACAGTTTGCTCAGTGCTTTACAATATAACGGGAGACAATACAGCAACAATACAGTTCAATACAAGAGGGATAGGAGGGCCCTTCTCCTTGGAGCTTACAATCTAGGAGATCAAGGACACATACTTGCATGTCCTTATTTTTCCAGCACGTCAGCAATTTTTTCACTTCGTTGTGGGTCCCCAGCTCTTTCAGTTTGTGACTTCTATTCCGCACCTTGTATGCTCACCAAGGTTCCAAGGTGCTTGCCTGTGTCCCAAATGGTCCCACCCGTCTGTATTTATGGTCTTGCTGTCAAAAGTGTCTTGAGTTTCCAAATCTTCCTTTAGACAGCAGTATCATCTAAATGTCTCTGAATCCCATTAAACTCCAAGAAAGCAAATTTACTTTGAGTACAAAAATCCTATTTTTAGTGTTGTTATTCCTCTAAACTCCTATTGTGAAAATTGTGTATTTACTATGGCAACTGCTATGAATCTCTCAGATATTTGTGTCTTATCTCTGGTCTGTTAGTTTCACTGGAATGTAACTGTATGCAAAGATTTCCCTTTTCCCCAATACAGTTGTGGAATTGTGTGCTTTCCTGTGAGAAATAAGGAGGCTGCCATTGCTGACCATCTGAAAATGCTGATGGCCTAACTGGTATACTGACCCATTAGTTTATATAATTTGAGTCACAGGTTCAAGTATACAGAACAAGTATTCAAGTTGAAAATGTTAGTCCTGATCTGCATGCTTGTTCTGGGTTAGTGACTCAAAGAAATGATGCTAGAGTCAGCCTGGCTGCCAGGAAACTAGAATTTGTAAAATGGGAAGTCAGCTGTGGCAGCCTTTGTTTTTTTCTGACAATTCCAGATAAGTTGCTTTATGTGATGGTGCCATCCTAAACATGTAGGCCTATTACAGAAGTACTAAAGTATAGGTAGTGACCTGTAAGATTTTCCTATACTGTGGGTATAGCATTAAAAAGTTGATTTATGATTGATGTATATGACACTACACATTGTGTTGCAACCACGGCATGCATCTAAGGGCTATCTTCAGCACAGGTCAAGCAGATCTTTCTGAAGCGGAATATGGTTTAACAGTAGACTGCAGGGAGTACTGTTGCTGTGACCATGGTAGCAGGTCTAGTTTCTGCAAGATAAGCCCTTTCTCAGAAACATTGGAAAGATCTGTTAAGTAACATGGTAGAGAATAACCATACTTTAAAGTGGAACTATTGGCAAATCATTTTTTTTTTTTTCCATTTTAGATTAAGGGAGAGTTATAACCCCTGTCAGATTTATTTTTTTGGCCATCTGGGTCCCATTGGGGAGATTCACCTTCACTTCCTGTCCCATAGCCAAAACAGGAAGTGAGAGGGAATCCCTACAAATTAAAGGAATCCCTTGGGGACCAAGTTGCCAGAACCAGTGTCCCCAGACGATTTCCCTTCTATTACTTTTATAGGGACAACCCAAAATTTAAGATTTTCTTTTACTTTCACTTTCAATGATATTGGTAAACAGGACAAACAAGGTGAATCTCCCTAATGGGGACACAGCAATAAAAACCCGACAGGGGTTCTAATTCATCTCCACTCTCTTCAAAACTAATGCCCTTAGTTATAATTTAAAACAGCCTAAGTTTTATGGTTCTCCCTCTCCCTTTTTTTTTTTTTTTTTTAAAGCCTCGTACATACCTGGTTCTCTGCCAGGCAGGGCGCTACTCTTGCCCTATTCCTGAGTGGCTTGTATTTGGCTTTTTTCTTAACGTCTGATTCAAGCCTACATGGGGAGAGTAGACGACCACACATTCACAGAGCCTATGACTTAGAACACAACATGAGTACCCATTGATCTGTTCCTATGTAAATATCCATTCAGCATCTAGAAATAGTTGCCTATAATTTAGCAATGTGTAAGGATAAAACTTTAAATACTAATGCATTTACACCTGGAGTCTTCCATCTGTTTACATTTGTTCTGTTTTTCCAGACTGATGAAAGCCGGAGTGTTGCACATTATCAGTATATGAGCTGGCCTGACTTTGGTGTGCCTAAATCTGCATCAGCCATGTTGGACTTTAGAGCCCAGGTAAAGCAGCACCAGGCAGTGGCTGTGCAAGCCATGGGATCTGAATGGACAGGACATCCTGCAGGACCTCCAATAGTGATTCACTGCAGTGCAGGCATTGGGAGAACAGGTAAATATTCTCTACAGCTGTTATGGCTTATTTGGGGAGTGCTGGTTGTACAGAGAGCTGGACTGAGGATATAGAGCTGAAATTATTCCCAGTAATGTCGGAGTAGGCTTTCAAGACAGCTTTGTCTTGTCCAGGTATGCTAGAGCGACTCATGAGTTGTCTTAGAAGCTTGCAATATTTGATCCTCTGGTAATGGGCATTAGGGTATGATTTCTTGCAGAAGAGAACACAGGTTCATGTTTTATCTAATGGAAATGTATGTAGATTAGAATATATAGGGATCGTAGGGAAATGTTTTATGAAAAATAACATTTCTTTCTTCTACATACATGTATATTTTAGTTTGTGACCGCATTAGAGCTGTGCCTACGTGGCATTAAACCCAAAAGCAAACATTTTATTCTTTTTCAGCTTACCAGTTATTAGATGATGGCTGCATTCATTAGCTTTTTTTTTTAGGCTTTCTTCTATTTTCATCTGGTGATCTAGCCAGAGAGTCTTGTTTTTCAAAAGAACAAGCTCTCCAGCAGAATGTGTCAGAGCGATGAGACAGAACATTTATCACTAACAGGGATGCTTACAATGATCAGCTTTTATTTATTCATGCAAAACCTTTTTCCCAAAAGGGAAAAAAACTGCTGTAACTGCTTATAAAGTATTATCTGGTGTTTAGTTTCCATTTGTTAGCATATTTAATTCTGCTAACATTCCCCTCCCAGATTGACAGTGCTTTTGTCCGAAGGTGCCCCTGTGCTCCTTGATCCAGAGTGGGGGTCACTAAATGAGGTATGTTACTGTCCAGATCAGCAGGTGAAGACAGAGAAAAAAAGCCTAAAAGAAAATGAATGCAGCCACCACATTTAAGGATTGGTAAGCTGCAAATATATCACAATTTTGGGTTTAATACTGCTTTAGTCCACATGTTCTTAAATTTGGATCTACATGCTACAGTGAGTCAGAAGTATATAAGTGAAACACATTTGAGGGAGGAGCTTTAGTGGCCATGGAAGACTGCTAAAAGGAATACAGTTTTACAGCTGGAATACTTTGGTGTGGTATCCACTGCTTTTGCATATGAGCTACATTAAAGCGAAACTAAAATCCCGATGTTACTCACTGTTAGCAGGCAGGCTGAGTTTACAGCACCTGCCGGATCCCAGTGTGCCAGGATGACGACTTGCTGCTGTGCATGCACAGGAGTGACATGATTCATTTCTGGCTAATAAAAGCAGCCAAAGACTGGCACACAGAAGGTGCAGGCAAGGGACAGAAACCATTGGAGAAAAGGTAAGTAAAGCTCCATTTACTTCTGATTTAACAGCTGGAGCAAATTGAAGTATTGGGTTCTTATAGGCACCAGAACTCCATTAATCAGCAATGTCAAGTTTTGGCATTTAGGAGCAGTAAATGTTCAGACTACTAAGACATTACCCATAATGTTGCTAAACAGAAAAGGCTCTTGTAACATAGCTATTAGTGCAATGGCAGAAAAATCCTGTTTGATCAGCAGCGTTTTCCTTGAGCAGTTTGGGTTTTCCTATTTAAAGCTGAACTCCCATCTTAACCGTTTCAATACCGGGCAATTTTACACCTTCCTGCCCAGGCCATTTTTCAGGTTTCGGCGCTCTCACACTTTGAATGACAATTGCGCGGTCATACAACACTGTACCCAAACTAAAATTTTATCATTTTCTTCACACAACTAGAGCTTTCTTTTGGTGGTATTTAATCACCGCTGGGGTTTTTATTTTTTGCTAAATTAACAAAAAAAGACCAAAAATCTTGAAAAAAAAAACACATTTTTCTTTGTTTCTGTTATAAAAGTTTACAAATAAATAATTGTTCTTCATAAATTTAGGCCGAGATGTATTCTGCTACATGTCTTTGGTGAAAATAACCCAAATTAGGATGTATTTTTTAGTTTGTAGGAAAGTTATAGAGTTCACCAACTATGGTATAGATCTGAATATTGATCAATCCTGAAGTACTGACAGCCAATCTAATTTCTTGAGGTCCAAGAATGTCAGAATAGTACAGATATCCCCCAAATGACCCCTTTTTGCAGAGTAGACAGTCCGACGTACTTCATAAGAGGCATGGCGAGTTTTTTGAAGTTGTATTTTTTTGTCATAATTTTTCGGAAAATGAAAAAATGAAAAAAATTATTTTCACTATTTTTTTTTTTACATACTGTCACCAGTGCAGTACAGCGTCATCATATAACTGGCATGGCGGTGAACAGGGACACTGACTAATGACAGTATGAAAAAAAAATATATATATTTTTTTTTTAATTTTTTTATTATATTTAATTTTTTATTACATTTTTTTTATTTTTTTTTAAGATTTTTTTTTCATATTTTACTATGACCAAAGTAGTACAATGTTACCATAGTAACATTGTACTACTTTGGGGAAGTGATCAGTATTTTTTTTTTTTTTTTTTTTTTTTTTTTTTTATACACAATTTGCTTATAGCAAAGAATTACTTTGCTATAAGCAAGCATTTACCTGAATGAAATCGATTCATTCAGCTTCTTTTTTTTTTTTTTTTTTTTTTGTGCTTAGCTGTGATTTGGTCACAGCTAATCACATGACATGTGCATGTGCTTAGCTGTGACCATTCACAGCTAGGCACTAGTATACAATGGATGGCATCATGAATGAAGCCATCCATTGTATACAACTGTCATGTGACCTGCTGTGATTGGTCACAGCAGGTCACATGGTACCAGCAACGGGAGCCGGTACTCGGATCTGTCATCGGCTGTGTCCGAGGTGCACGGCTGGTGACAGATCGCACTGCTGCGCCGCTCTGCATTAGCGCAAACGGCGCATGTGCGGGAGCACGCCAAATGGCGTGCACCCGGAATGGAGAGACACTTCTGAAGCCGCCAAACGGCCATTGGCCAGGCGGCTAATGGTTAACCACTTGCCTACCAGGCACTTATACCCCCCTTATTTACCAGGCCAATTTTCAGCTTTCAGCGCTGCCGCACTTTGATTGACAATTGCGCGGTCATGCAACATTGTACCCATATGAAATTTTGATCATTTTTTTCTCACAAATAGAGCTTTCTGGGCGCTTTACTTTTTGCGCTATAAATTAAAAAAGTGCAAAAAATTTGAAAAAAAAAAAAAAGTTTCTTTGTTTCTATTATAAAATTTTTCAAACAGGTATTTTTTCTCCACTGATGTACGTTGATGAGGCAGCACTGATGGGCACTGATAGGCGGCACTGATAGGCGGCACTGATGGGCACTGATAGGCAGCACTAAAGGGCACTGATAGGCAGTACTAATGAGGTGGCACGGATAGGCGGCACTGATAGACAGCACTAATGAGGTGTCACGGATAGGCGGCACTAATATGCAGCACTGATAAGCGGCACTGATAGGTGACACTGATGATGGGTACTGATAGACGGCACTGACTGGCATCACTGCTGGGCACTGACTGGCGGCACTGACTGGCACAACCCCTGAGCACTGACTGGTGGCACTGACTGGCAGCACTGCTGGGCAGCACTGGTGGGTGGCACTGGTGGGCAGCACTGGTGGGTGGGCACAGGTGGGTGGCACTGGTGGGCACAGGTGGGTGGCACTGGTGGGCACAGGTGGGTGGCACTGCTGGGCACAGGTAGGTGGCGCTTCTGGGCACAGGTGTGTGACACTGCAGAGTGGCACAGGTGGGTGCACTGCTGGGCACAGGTGGGTGATCTGCTGGGCACAGGTGGGCGGAGCTAGTGGGCGCACTGCTGGGCACAGGTGGGCGGAACTTGCGGGTGGCACTGCTGGGCACCGATCATCAGGGCACTGATCATCAGTGCCCTGATGATCGGTGCCGATCCCCGCTCTGACAACTGCCGGTTCTCGGCAGTACTTTCCTCACGATCTGACAGTGTGAGGAAAGTGCAGCCGAGAACCGGCACTTGCATTTCCCTCTGATCAGCGTGTCATTGGACACCGCTGATCACGTGGTAAAAGGCCGCTGTGATCGGCCTTTTACCACATCACGTGATCAGCTGTGTCCGTAGGACACAGCGATCACGGAGATCGCCGGGTGCGCGCCCCCTGGGGCGCGCAGGAGAGCGCGTTCTGGGGGGACGTCATATGACGTCCACTCAGAACTGCCCGGCCGCAGTGCAGCCGTCATTCGGCTATCTGCGGTCGGCAACTAGTTAATAATAGAAAAAAAAATGTAAAAATGAATGGCTTAATTGTGTAAAAATAAATAACACAAGTCCTTGAGATCTCTGTTAGGGGCAGAGTTGTCCCCCACAGTGCTTCTTTTCCGCCACTATACATTGGATATAAAAAGTCTACACAGCCCTGTTAAAATGTCAGATTTCTGTGATGTAAAAAAAATGAGACAAAGATAAGTAATTTCAGAACTTTTTTCACCTTTCAATGTGACCTATAAACTGTACAACTCGGTTGAACAACAAACTGAAATCTTTTAGGTGGAGGGAAGTAAAAATAAAAAACTAAAATAATATGGTTGCATAAGTGTGCACACCCTTGAACTAATATTTTGTTGAAGCCCCTTTTGATGTGATTCCAGCACTCAGTCTTTTTGGGTATGAGTCTATCAGCATGGCACATCTTGACTTGGTAATATTTGCCAACTCTGCCTTTCAAAAACACTCCAAATCTGTCAGATTGCGAGGGCATCTCCTGTGCACAGCCCTCTTCAGATCACTCCACAGATTTTCGATTGGATTCTGGTCTGGACTCTGGCTGTGCCATTCCAAAACTTGAATCTTCTTCTGGTGAAGCCATTCCTTTGTTGATTTGGATGTATGCTTTGGGTCGTTGTCATGCTGAAAGATGAAGTTCCTTTTCATGTTCAGCTTTCTAGCAGAAGCCTGAAGGTTTTAGTGTCAATATTGACTGGTATTTGGAACTGTTCATAATTCCCTCTACAGGGATGTGCAATTCATATCGCCCGACGCCCAGGACATGTAGTTTCGGGTGCCAGGCAGGTAGGGTTTTTTTTGCCTTTAGCCCTGCTGCGCGGCTCACCAGTCAGGTTGAAGCATTCGGGAACAGCGCTGCCCCCTGATTGCTTCCACGCAGCCCAGAGTGCCAGCCACTGCCCCCATACCCGCTATATGTCCTGGGCTCTGCTTTCCCATCTGCGGGCTTGGGACCAGTCAGTGGGTGCCGGTGGTATGTCGGGATGCGGTATAGAGGAGGGGGGGAGAATGGACACGTCTGCTCCCCTCCCCTGCTTGTCCTGACCCGGAAGTGATGTGACATCACGTCCGGGTCCCCGTTGACAGATGTAATGTAGTGCAGTACGAGGAGCACAGAGGAGACATCCATGCTCTTTCAGACCCTGGATGTCTCAAAAAAGAGAACCTGGCGCCAAAAAACCATCCCATAGGGGACTTTGTCCTCTGTGATTAAAAAAAAAAAAGTTAAATGAAAAATGTTTTTTTTTTCTTATTTTAAAAAAATTTAAGTTACACCCAAGCATATAAACCACCCCCAATTTTTCAAGGCCCCCCACTTATGCATGCACAAACGTAAAAGAATGCGCTGGGACGCCCCTTGATTGCAATACACATGTTAAATATCGCCGCATACGCCAGAATGAGAGCAGTAATTCTAGCACCAGAGACCACCTCCTTAATGCTAATGACCTGTAAGAGGCTTTAAAAGTGTCACCTTTAGAAAATATAGGGTACTAAAGTTTGTTGCCATTTCACGAACGCGCACACATTTGACATGTTGAATATCTATTTACTGGATGCAACCTCGTCTTTTATATTTTACAAATAAACTGGATAGTTTATTGCTTTTTGTGCCCTAAAATTAAGTGTATTTTTTACTGAAATTTGTGATATCGCGTGACATAAAAAATTGAAACTACCGCTATTTTATTCTCTAGGGTCTCTGATTTCAGAAAATATATCATGTTTTGGAGTTTCATGTAATCTGCAGACCTTAAATAATTTTTTTAAACGTGTGCAAAAATCGCAAAAATGGCTCTGGCAGCAAAAGGGATAAAGGATAAGCCTGACATTCCCCATTCCTGATGAGCAGCCAATCGGTGCTCATTACACTGCAAGGTCTCTCTCCTCCCTTCTAGTCCCCGAGTGCAGTGCTGGAGAAAGGTAGGGAGGGGAGGAGGAGATAAACAGCACAATGTTAAAAATATTAAATGTTTACGTCGCCATAAAGCCCCTTTCGTTTTTAAAAGCCCCAGACATTCCATAAAGCACCTCCGATTTAAACCCGGTTTTGGTTAAAATGTATTTATTTATTTTTTATTTTAGAACAAGTAGATTGGCATGAGGGACAAGTAGATTTTTCAAAAATTGCCACACCCCTGCTCACTACCTTGACTAAGGTCCCAGTTCCAGCTGAAGATAAACAGCCCCAAAGCATGCTGCCACCACCATGCTTCACTGTGGGTATAGTGTTCCTTTGATGATGTGCAGTGTTATTTTTGCGCCAGACATATCTTTTGGAATTATGGCCACAAAGTTCAACCTTGGTTTCATCAGACCATAACACATTTTCCCACATGCTTTAGGGAGACTTCAGATGTGTTTTTGCAAAATGTAGCCAGGCTAGGATGTTTATCTGCGTAAAAGGCTTCCATCTTGCCACTTTACCCCATAGCCCAGACATATGAAGAATACTGGAGATTGTTGTCACATGTACCACACAGCCAGTACTTGCCAGATGTTCCTGCAGCTCCTTTAATGTTGGTGTAGGCCTCTTGGCAGCCTCCCAGACCAGTTTTTCTTTTCATCTTTTCATCAATTTTGGAGGGACGTCCAGTTCTTGGTAATGTCCCTGTTGCGCCATATTTTCTCCACTCGATGATGACTGTGTTCCATGGTATACCTAATGCCTTGAAAATTATTTTTGTACTCTTCTCCTGACTGATGCCTTTTAACAATGAGATCCTTCTGATGCTTTGGAAGCTCTCTGCAGACCATGGCTTTTGCTGTAGGATGCAACCAAGAAAATGTCAGGAAAGACCTACGAGAACAGCTGAACTTTATTTGGGGTTAATCAGAACACAGCTACATCCCCAGTTATAAGAGGGTGTGCACACTTGCATTATTTTTTTTTAATTTTTTTTAATGTTCTATTTCTATTACTATAGGGCGGTGGGCAAGCAGTTAAACTTTGTGTCAATTTAGGGATGTAGGTACAAATCTTGAGCTTGGTGACTGTGTCCCCATGCTAGTTGTGCTATTGTATGCTATTCAGTTGTATGCTACTGATCTGTCTTTTGACTGCTTGCTAGAACTAAGTTGGTGTGAGGTGAAAGGGGTTTATATTCTCCAGGGTGCTAGACTTTAGTTTTTCTAGGTGCCTAGTGTCCACTTGCACGCAGGCTATTATCCTAGGCTGCTTATTATCAAGTTGTGTTCCTCAATGGATTTTACTGCAAATAACCTACAATCCTTCATTTCACTGTCATGCAGCCATCAAATGCCGTTGTTAATTCAGACGCTTTCTATAATTGGTCCATACATTTGTGTACATATCCGTGCATTGGATATGATGACACCTCTTTTCCTACTTTTACATGGCAGCTTTTGCTGTGCACAGGTCTAAATTTAACATCTCCTTTTTTCTATCACTAGGTACCTTTTGTACTTTGGATATATGCCTGTCCAGACTGGAGAACATTGGAACAGTGGATGTATTACAGACAGTGAAGAGAATGAGAACTCAGCGTGCTTTCAGTATTCAAACATGGGATCAATATTATTTTTGTTACATGGCGATTATCGAATACGCACAAAGGAAAGGTCTCCTTGCCCCTGTGGAATGGTCCGACACTGAATTTGAGACGGATAGCGAATGATTATTCCTTCTCCACGGTACTAAGAAATGTTATGTGGGTGCATCCAAGGCCATAAGCTGGTCCAGTAAATGTTGGCAGTGCTGGATGGCTCTGCCCCCATGCTGCCATGCAGTGAAGTGCAGGCCCCTTCAGTACACTGCTTTGTATGAGCTATTAATGCACTGGAAAGTGTCATAATTTATTGTAGCATGAATGCAATGGAATAACTTGCACACCGTTTCCTAGACTTGAACTTTAAGTGTACTTTTTTTCTTTGCTGTTGTGCGCAGGAAGAATTGAGTATATAGAATGTGTCACAGATCCCTTTGTAAAGTGTGTAGTAACTTGTAGATTTGTTTAGTCCTTTTTATGAATTTTATGTCAATTCTAATGTGTTCTCTAGAGATGGCTTCAAAGTCTAACATTCAATCAATGACACCAAGTAGAGGTCCACATACCTGCTCACTTTGGCACTGTTGTAAATTTCTGTACAGCTGTTAAACACGTTACAAGTTCCACCACAACCAGGAGGACTAGTGAAAATTCTGTTCAAGCGGAATCATGAAGTGTTATGCAAATTCATACTAATTTTACTTTAATTCTTTCAGCAGTGAAAGGGTTAAGAAGAAAAAAAGGCCTTAAGCTGTGTTTGTTTGATTTGTTTCCGTGTGAATGTACCCCCCCCTTCCCCCTATCTTCCTTAAGGCACATCCAATCAAGAATTTTTCTCTAACAGAGGACAGGTTCAGATAACCACTGAGCGGGATGGCACAGATGTCTTGTGATTCTTGCGCTGTGTCTAATGTGTCATCCACAAGTGTAACCATTAAATACGCAGCTTAAGAAATCTCCAACCGCCAGCCATTTTGACAATATTGAGCTTTTCTCAGCTGTAGAGGTCCCACAGGCTGCTCACTAATTTCCTTTTGCAAAGCCTGCGGTAAAAGAATTTTGGAAGATTTTCTTATCTGATGAAATAGGCATGCCTTCTTGGGCCTTTTTTATATGGGCTTCAGCTTGGTATAAGAGCTACAGTGGTTAGACAAAAAAATTTAGCATGTAGTGATGTAGCATTCTTTTGCACCTAGCTAACAAGTGGGAAACCACACTTTCGTCATTCACTGCGTGCGCTGCTAGTAATACAGAGTCATGTCAGCGCTTACTGAGCTTCAAAGAGGGTAAATTGTTGGTTTCTCTTAGCTGATGCCTCTGTGACTAAACTTGCCAGTTTATCTGCTGTGTGGAGAGGTACAGTATCAAAGGTTATGACGGCATATACAGTTTCCGGGAAAACTTAATCTGATCAGCAAAAGCGCGGTCAACTTGGTCAGCTGACTGAAAGAGACAAAAGGACATTGCGTATGATTGTGTTCCGAATAATAAGAAACCAACTGCTGCAAAAACGACTGTAGAGTTCAATCTGCAGTACACGCGGTGAATGATGAAAGTAAGGCTTCCCACCTGTTAGCTAGGTGTCTCATCACACAGTGGAAGCAAAGAATGTTATGTCACGTCAACGTGAAACATGTCATCACCTGCAAATCATGCAGTGTTTCCGTATTTTTGTCCACCCCCAGTGTGTGAACAGCAAGCTTTGACAGGGCTTTCAGCAAGCTTCAATGCTTTTAAAGTATCATTCAGCTCCTAGCGAATGTTGAACACCAATCCTTATGGGAGTGCTGATCGACACTTTTTTTTTTTTTTTAATCAGATAGTTTTTATTGAAAAGTTTTCCGTGTCCAAACAAAAAAAAAACAACATACACAATGAAAGCATAGAAAAATAAAAAGCAGAAATTGAATTTAATAAAAATATCACAATGGGTATGTTCTGCATTCCAAAGTGTTACAAGACATTACAATGTATCTACAATTAAGCGACCGTGCCCCCAAAACCCCTCACCAAAGAACCAACCCTAGTACAGTTGCCTGGTTCTAGAAGTACAATCATAAAATTTGCTCTGCCAATAATAATTGGTTTACAGTCACACATCATCCTTAAACTAAATCTGAGGACAATGAGGTATGTGTCAACTCCGCAAAGGACAACCATGTCTTTTGAAATTTCTTAGGGCAGCCCCTATGTTTATATCTCAATTCTTCCCTTTACAAATTTAAATCAAGTGCATCCCTCCATTGCGAGAGGCTTGAAAGTGTAGAGGAGAACCTTCTTTGTAAAACTGCTGATTGCCACAGTAAACAAGCTGCTAGCAGGTTTCAATATTTCTTGAAGTTTGATAAAAGCCCACTAGCAGCTTGTTTAAACTGGCAATCAACCCACCTATTGGGATTGGTGTTCAACATTTACAAACTGCAGCTGAATTATACATTAAAAGCTTCAACAAAGTTTGCTGAAAGCTTGCTATGCTTTGTCAAAGATTGCCGTTTACACTGCTCTTATACAGTGTAAAAATAGGCATCAGACCATTTTCAGTATAGTAGCCAGATACTGGCAGATGATGTAATCATCCTTTACTTTAAAGTGTATGACTAGGAATGGTTAAACCCCCTATTAATTTTTTTTTTTTTTACTGCTATCCAGGGCTTTGTTAGAGCAATTTTCTTCCTGGTGACATGTTTCATCAGACAGGAAGTGAGAGAAATTCTGAACAGCAGCAGACTTAAAGAACTCCTGTAAGATTTTAATTTGTCTGTTTTCCTGTTGAAGATTTTCCTTCACGTTCAGTGTGGTGAAAGCAATGTCACTGGAATGGAAAGCAAGGGGAAATCTCTCTAACCCTGGATAGATGTGTAAAAACCTGACTGGTTCTAAACCCCCTCCCTATCTAAACACTAAAAATAGTCACTGCCCATGTTATGTATGCTTCCATTTTCTTTACAAATGCTGACACTTCTTTATCCTGTGGGTCAATACAGAGCTCTTCTATCTACCAGTTTGAGTGATCCAGCTTGTCAACGTATGTCTCGGATGATTGGAAAAATGTGAAATGCTATTGTTTGACTCGCAGGATGAAGGGGTTTTCTAGATTTCCTGTACAGATAGGAAAAGCCTATATGTAATTGAAGTCACCCACATTTAGTTTCTCAACTTTGTTGACAGGAAAGGAAAAAAGGATTCTTGTGAGGATGTGGCACTGAGGAACTGTCTTTTTTTTTTTTTTTTTTTTTTTTTTTCCTCCTTAATCTGACACTATGTGTAGTGTATGGTTTTGCATACAATATAACACTGCCTGCATTGATGTGCCTTTTTAATGTTTGTGTAGCACAAAAAATCATAATTTATCCAAATTAAAATACAAATGCTTGCATTTATATTCTCAGGGGCCTCTATTTTCCATTTCTTTGAGGGGAAGGAGTGACCTGTTCTTTCCCTTCATCCCTTCCATGTACTTGAGTACAGAAAAATCTTAACGGTTTTATTTTTGTTTTATATCAATACTGTATTTTTTTCCAATTTATTTAATGTTGTGTACTTAAAGTATTATATTTTTTTTCCTTTTTTGGTACGACTACATGACAGTGGCAGTATAATACTAAATGGATCCAGCTACTGTATTTATAAACATGCTTAATCAATGTAAATGTTTATATAAGCTCTGGGATTGCAAAAATAAAATGCATTTATTTCCTTGCCATATTTAAGATTGTAGGACCTGTTGGTACAAAACTGGCAATTCAATAGAAAGCGTATAGGTTGGACTTCTGTATTCCAGATTAAATATTTCTTTAGCCTTTATTATTTTAATGCCTTTGTCTGTTTCTAAACTGTGTCAATCCAAGCAATTAATTACCCAAGGGGCACATTTGCATCTTTCATTCTGGCTGCCAAGAAGTGTTGATGCAAAAATTTACCTTTTTTATACATATTTCAGTAAAGCAAGAGAGTAAGCTATTAAAAGGTAACTCTATGTTTATGTACTTTGTGGTTATTATTGTAACACAGGGAATACAATTCATTACCCTTGTTTTTCCCATTATGCTCTTGGTTATCTGTTGTGCCCAAAAGGAATGGTTCAATTTTGTTTGTGACAACTTTTGAAACAATGTTATGTACTGTCTGGTTGTGAAGGAGGCCTTACTGTTCACACACACTGCAAGTGAAATCTGCATGGTTTTCCAACAGAGACATGAACCTACATCAGTTTTCATGCACGTTGCAATGAGTTTTTATACATGCTGCAGATTATTTCCCTGTTGCTGCTTATAAATACTACTGGATAAACACCTGTTGGATGGCCATTGCACCTACTAAATGCTGTGAACCAAGCTATTATTTGATGACACACCGTGTACCAAGCCATTTATATCAGCTTGGCACCCTGTGTGATCGCTGGGAGAACCAATTCCTCTTAAGAAAGGTGAGGAAATATAGTAAGTTATGAAGGGTAAACAAATGACTGGCTCTGCAGCAGCCGCTGCTGATCCATCTGTTCTTTTGTTTTCAGGGAGGGATATGGAGCTGACAATTTATGCAGCACTTTACATATATGTTTTACATCCACATCAGCCCCTGCCCTTAAGGAGCTTGCAATCTAGAGTGCCTTACTCACATTCATACATACTAGGGCCAGTTTATTCAGTAGCCAAGTAACCTACCATCATGTCTTTTGAAATGTGTGGGAGGAAACAGATGTACCTGGAGGAAACCCACACAGGCACAGGGACAACATGCAAAAACCCCAGGCAGGTGTGCTTGGGATTCAAACTGACAACCCCAGTACTGCAAGGCAGAAGTGATGACCACTGCCGCTGCCCCTCTACACATCTGATCTCTAGCCTGTCTCTGTATATTACCTGTACGTTTACCCTTCACCCCTCCTTAGTTTGCACATTGATCTACTCATCTACATCCTCCCACTGTAAATTAACCTATTCACCACATCTATAACAAGGTCCATGGGTAACTCCCTAAATACCATTATGTAGTTATTATCTAAAACAAATTGTAGGAAAATATTAGGATCACCTTGGGGTGTGTTTCAAATAAAGGGTCATTTCAAGGTTTTTTTGTACTATCATGGGTTTTTTTTTTTTTTGTAAACAAGGTAAGGAAAACCATTT